AACTTTTTGAATTATTTTTATTGATTAATTAAATTAATATTATGAATCTGAATATACAGGGTGGTGCAAAGGGACCTTTAATAATTTGAGAATGAATAGAAAATGTTAAAATAGAATATAGTAATTTTCTTAATAAACTTATATCAAAAACTCAACAGTTTCAGAAAAAAAAGTTTACCAGAAGTTTTTTCGTAAAATGTATCTTGGTATTTTCCATATGTCATCTAGTTTGGTCTTTTTAGACAATAAAAAGTACGCAATTAATCTAATAATTTTTTTTACATTTCTGAAATCAACAGTTGATTTAAAAAAGAGTAAAACGTAAAATTTTTCTTAATAAATTCATTCTTAGTAATTTTTAGCAACAAATTAAGAACGTTTATTTTGAAATAAACCAAATTAAAAATAACACTAAAAAATATTTTACAACAGAAAAAACAATTAAAAATAAAACTACAAAAACTATTTTAGAACAGAAACCTAAATTTAAATCATAAGGAGTTGCTCAAAATCTTCACCCCAAACTTCGATACAAAAAATTAGATAGCATATGGTAAAATTTAATCACAGTGAATTGGATCCAATTCCACGCAATTTTATTAAAGGTTCCTTTTTGACCACCCCAGGGTATAAATAAAATTAAAACTTACATGAAGCGAACTTAAATTTAGAGACCTGAAATCAGGAGAAATATCTTTGTGTACCTTCTTATTTTCTTCTATGTATTTTGAAGGTGTAGGTACAGCATTTCATGTACCTACTGGTACTGGCACCAAAATAAACACCTAAAAAATGTTTTAGTTAATTTTAATTTATCCAAAAGTTTATTGTATTATTATTAGAAATGTGATCCATAACAATTTAAAGCTAGGAATTTTAAATTAATTATCTACCTTTACATACCCTTCATTAAATAATGTGGGCTCAGCGTTTTCTCTCAATATAAAACCACCTAAACTAGCAAACATATTTTCTTCAAAATGCTCTCCACAAACAAATTGTTCTTTTTCACTGGCTCATTTTTCAATTCGCTTCTGCCAATATAATCAAGCCAACGATTTCTCCTAAAATAAAATAAAATTATAACGTTTATATAAAATTAAAATGTTGTAGATGGTAGGTAGGTACCTACAACAATCTTTTATATTAGTCATTTAACTGTTTAAATATATTTAAAAATGTATAGTCCCTAAAATATCAATTGTAACTATAATATTAGATACAATATACACTTTGACAAATTTAAAACATTAAAATTCAGTAGAAATAATAAAACAAATAATTTGTCTAAATGCAAACGATGATGCAAATTATGAATAAAACCAAATAACAGGTATTCCTAGTTTCATATTTTTAAAACAATATGTTGCCATAAATTCGTATATTTTGTCTTTTAAGGTGAATTTATGCTCACTTAAAATAAGAAATAAGAAATAAAAATAAAAAATAAGAAATAAAAATAAAAGTTAAAGGTTTATAATTGCTAACATCACTTTATGCTCACGAAAATAAGAAATAAAAAATTAAAAATAAAAATAAAAGTTGGCAATTTTCAACTTAAGATTCTTATTCTGCGTATTTTTGTGCGCAAAGGATTTATTTCATAGATAATAAATCATATAGATACGCCACTGTCACATATTTGACGCTCCTTGTTACGCACACTAGGTCCGCTATGCCGCTAGTGTACCCGCCTGACATTTATTGGTTTTAGGTTATGGTTTTAATTTAGGTTATCCTGTCAAATTTTGACAGTCAAAATAGTAAAAAATAAAAGGCCTGATAGTTTATTTAAATTGTTTATTTAAAAAGCAAAAATAAATTTATTATATTTTAAATTATTCAAGGTATTTACTAAACTAAACCAATTAACAATATAATAATGTATTCAAGTGAATTTTATCTTATTAAAGAACACAAATCAGTATAAAGTAATAATATTATGTACCACATTTGTGTTAGTACCTACATCATTATTTTAATAAAATAGTTATAATTGAATAATACAATACAACCTGGTCATCATTGTGAAAAGTATGCATCATAACTTGACTGTTAGAGCAGCCCACAGCACAGCACAACACCATGTTAATGTTCAAATAATGTGGCAATATATAAAAAATAGAGTACACAGATAACGATAAATCGCAATTTTAAAAGTTTTTAAGCGTACAGAACAAACCAAATAAACACAATATGAATTTACAAAACTTTACAAAATTTATCAAACTGAAGTTTGTTGATTTCGTTACCAAGCAACCGTCAAGATTAACCGCCGCTCCTGCCACATGCAACTCGAGTTTGAACTAAAACCAAAGTCGACTAGACAAAAATGTGGATTTTGTTTGTTTAAGGCGAGTGCACAGGGCATGATTTATTTTCGTCATCAGCTGACAGGTTTTTGTTTCGCCCGGGAAATTCGCAAATACTTTTGTGTAATAGTTAATTCATAATTGTTGTGTTGTTTAATTACTGTTTGTACAATAATTAGTGTTTTTGGATTGTTTTTGTGTTTTTTTAATAGTTAATTCTTAATTGTTGTGTTGTTTAATTACTTTAAAAATTTCCCGTAACCCTGCGATTACGATTTAGCGGTCGAATGCTGTACCGCCTCGCAGCCCGTTTCTTACGAACAATTCTTTTTTGCAACAGTAAAAATGCTGTTGTAAGCAATAACATTTTTTTAATTCTAATTCTCATTTTTAAAAGATTACCACAGAACAAACCAACCAAAGAAACCAGAAACGAACGCTTTGGGAACTGTCAAACAATCAATTTTAACCTCACTTTTGCATATTTTTCTTATTTCTTATTTTTATTATTTTTCCGACATAAATGACAACAAATGAAACTATTTCTTATTTCTTATTTCCTATTTCTTATTTTTTATTTTTAATTTTTTATTTCTTATTTTCGTGAGCATAAAGTGATGTTAGCAATTATAAACCTTTAACTTTTATTTTTATTTCTTATTTTTTATTTTTATTTCTTATTTCTTATTTTAAGTGAGCATAAATTCACCTAAATGACAACAAATGAAACTATTTCTTATTTCTTATTTCCTATTTCTTATTTTTTATTTTTATTTCTTATTTCTTATTTTTAGTGAGCATAAATTCACCTTTACTATTTTAAAATGCAGTTGAAGGCGTTTGAGGACTCAAATAAAAATGTTTGTTTTTGAGGTTATGTTTGCAACTATTATTTTGATTCCTTAAAAATGTCTAAACTTGAATATAAATTATGTTAGGTAAAGTTATAATTAGTTAATTATGCACCAACAAATATACTTACCGAATTGTATCCTTTAGCAAACCATGAAAATGAAACTTCAGATTGATTCTTGAATTATCTACATTTACAATTAAAAACACAACAATAATTCACCATGATCACTTAGATAAAATACACACACGACTATATAAGCATATAAAGAATAATAAATATAATTCGAGTACTAAACCAAGCAGATTTTCAGTTGCTTGCAACGAAAAACACAAATAACGTGAGCGGCTAAGGAACGTAATTGCAACTTTGCAAACGAAATTCGAAGAGTAAGACTTTTACCTTCGTCTCTTCTGTAAACAAACTACTTATTTATTTAATATTGATGTGCAGTTTGTACCAAAAAAAGAATATTCGAACGGTTTTAAAGGATTGTTTAAAAAGTCGCTCTTTTGTAATGTATGGCCAATGGTACTAAAAAGCGCCTACTGATGGCGCGCGCGTCGCCAAAACCCGATACGAATTTAGCGTATGATAAAAAATATTTTAATTGAAAAAACTACAATTTTTAATGAGACTGTCAGGGCAAAAAGTCCCGAGGCTCATGGAATGCCCTTTTTATTAATTAAAAAATAAAATTTGTTATCATATATCTTTTAAATAATGCGATATAACAATTATTGTAATCTCGAATATCTCGGAAACGGTTTATTTTATAGAAGTTTGAGAGGTACACCTTTTTAATGATAGCCGAACTGTGTAATCGAAAAATTTCATCAAATGTTATAAAAACCTAACCTCAAAGTTTGTATGGGACAATAAGTTTAAAGCAACCCCCGTTTCTACGACACTGTGTTCACTCAAACAATTGTAATTATGTGTGAATATGTGTTTTGGTAGTAAGTGACTGTTCGCAAAATATCACCTTCCCAAGACTACCATAGTAGAAGTTATATTAAAAAAACTAATATGATAAGTAACACTTTATCACCCTGTATCTTGGAAACATAAGTAATTAGGAAAAATATTTATTTAGGTTTTCGTCTTATTTTGACTTGCTCAATCTTTTCCTAAATTTATGTCAATAAGTTTAGGGACACCTTGTATAGGAGCGCTTTCTTTTAGTCTCCGTGAAATTTCATTTTTGGAGATACTTGATTGTTTCACTGGACCCCTCAATTGCTCTAAGCCGCTTTGCGGCGGCGTAACCTAGGTACAAACGCGCGCGATGATTTTATGAGTTTATTAGTATCTATTTTTGAGCAACACGGCTATGTGGAGGAAAACGTCCAAATAAAATACTTACTTTGAGTTTATGATATTTTTCGCAATTATGACCTCAACTAGGCACCTAAAGATATTATACCAGAAAGCCAGTGGCGTGCAGGACGGGCCCCGCAGGGCCCGCGGTGCGGGGGGGCCCCCGACCTTAGGGGGCCCCGTAGAGAACCACATTGGGTGGTATAAGTGACAAAGGGGCCCCAGCTCAAAATTTGCGGGGGGGCCCCCGATCACCTTTGCACGCTACTGCAGAAAGCCAAAATTTTATAGCAAAAATACCACACCAAAAAGACAACATTTGGTTACCCAGGACATAAAATTTGAAAAGAATATCGGCCCACCCTATTGCATAGTGTACGTTTTTGGGTTTAGAAGAAAAAGCCATGCTGCTTGTTTTTTTCTTGATTTTTTTTTAAATCTTGGACGTTTTCATCTAAACCTACAAATATAAAGTTTTTCTATTCTTAACTCTATCCATATACTTTAAATTTTAGTCGTTTTTGTGATGAAAACAAATTTAAACCACTATCACAGGCAGATTTTGGTAAAGCTATGAAACAAGTTTATCCGAATGTTAGAGCCAGAAGATTGGGCACTAGGGGAAAATCAAGATACTGCTATTCAGGACTTCGGAGATGTCTTAAATTAAAACCCCCTGTTTTACCTGATCTGGCTGACAAACCTATGGTAAGAATGTACTGAAACAACAAAATATACTTAGTAACAGAAATCACAAAACCCAGACAATTTTATTCATAATAAATAGTTACTAGAGTTGCGCTTTCATAAATAGGCATCATAATTAAGTGACCAACCTAATTTTAAATGTGACCTATTTTAAATTTCGCGGTAAAATTTAGCTTAAACCCTAACTTTCAAAGATAAACACAACAAGTTATATTTCGAGTGTTCTAGACCTGGTTTTAGGCGTTCTGTAGAATAAAAACGATTTTTGTTTAAATTTAGTGCCCTTACCCTATTAAAAATGCCCTATAGAACCCATATTGATCCAGATAAGGAAACTAATATGGATTTATATGGTTCTATATGTCCTATATGGAACGACCTGGTTTACACTTTGGAATCTATATGGTTTAATATGGAATTTCATTTTAAAATGTACAACTTAGGGATTTTTATATGGATTTATCTGGTTTCTGTTTTATGTTTTTTTCCATATAGGTTTCCCTATATGGTTGAATATGGAATTCCATTTTAAAATGTATATATATTTAAACGAAAATTGCATATTAAACCATATAGATTCCCCTATATGGTTAAATATGGATCTATAAGGTAATAATTTTTTCACACCCAAACCATATTGGGCCAGATAGAGCAATATGAACCTATATGGCAATCCATATAGAAATCACTTTTCTATATGGTTTTCCAGGTATGGAATTCTATCTGGTTCAATAGTGCAATGCCTGTTTCAAATTCCTATATTGAACCAGATAGATTTTTATTTTGTGTTTCTATATGGCATTTTTAATAGGGTAATTATGGATTATCCAATGTTCCCTATCCTTTATTATTAAAAATGGAACATAACACCTTTAGAGGCCTATTCCCCTTTCGTTAAACATGCATGTTCATAAACTACATATGTTTCGTAACATATGTGCCTATTCCCTTTCAATTATTTCGTCTATGGACGCATGCGCTCAAAGAATTTCTTCCATCCATGTTTATAAACATCATCGGTGTCTAATTTGCTATTACGTTTCCAAAATTCGCTTTTTGGTGAACATAAATCATGTTTGAAAACGTATGTTTACGAACGCTTGCCTGAGATGCAGGCCCGGCTCCAGACATTTTGGTATCCCGTGCAAAAATATTTTTGCCGCCCCTCATAGTTACGTACTTTTTAGTGCCCATTAATTATGTTTAATTCCTAAAAAAAGGGGGAAGATAAAATTAACAAAAAAGTTTAAAAAATTATTATTTAATAACAAATAAATAAAATATCACCGCATAATAAAACAGTAATATAATAATAATTATTTTATCTAATATTAAACTGACTAGCAGTAAAAATAAGAAAAATTTGTTTACAAACAAAAGTTTAAGAAAAGGAATGCCTTCTGGCTTCTTGTTCACCAAACGTTGAAATTAAACTGGAAATATCCAATTTAGAACCTATATCGTGTTGTATACAATGTATACTATACATGTATTGAATAACTTCTTGCCGCCCTTCGATTTTTGCCGCCCCGTGCAGGGGCACGGCTGCACGTACCCTGGAGCCGGCCCTGCTGAGATGTGCTGTTAGTCAATATTTGGGGGTTTTTATCTTGCATTAATCATAAATTGCGGCGATGTTTGGTACAGTATACAGTACATTATCATTATCAAAGCATAGTGATTGTTTTAAATTAATTATAATTATATGTGATAAATAATAATTTATAAATGAGAATAGGACAAATCACATAAGGGGTCACCAAACAAATAAAAATATTTTTAATTATCATAATAATATCAAAATAGAAATTTTGCTTTACTAAATTGTTTAATAAAATTAATTTATTTAGAAAAAACAGAAAATTAAAAAAATCTTATTGTGACGTAAGGATTTGGGGAAGGGAGGTCAAGACTTTTACAATATACACTTCGCGTCAAATTTAACGCACCACTAAAAATTTGCCACAATTTCAAAGTTGATTTTCTCGCGAACCGTCAAACCGAATTTGGTGATTTTTTTATTAAATTGTAGATTGATTTTTCGGTAATAATGCGTTTATTGCAATATTTTTTTAAATTTTCATTTTGAGTATATACAGGGTGCACAAGTTATATACGTTTTTTCTCGAAAATTTGAAACGCCCTGTGGGTTGTACCAGCTTTAACAGCATATGACTCATATAATTAAACTATAGCCCCATATTTTCTTACCATTTTGATTTTTGATTCACATCTCTATCTCTATTTTTTAATGAGATAAGACTAACTAACTCCAGTTTAATGTAAAATGAAAGAACTTAACATAGGTTGGTCATGGAAAATAAATAATGGTGTGCAAATGTCATAAACTCTCAATTTCATTTAAGTTGTCTGCATAAAGTTATTGTAATGGAGCGCCAAGTGAGAAAATTGTATCGTTATGAATGTGTGAGAATTATCACATTTGCCGAGCAAGGATTAAGCTACCGTGCCATAGCTCGGAGATTGGGAGTTAATCATACCTCAATATCCCGTGTTATTCGACGTTATGAAGAAACCAACGATCATAACAGACGTGATTGGCAGGGAAGGCATCGAATGACAACAGCTGTACATGATCATTTCCTTTATTTGCATGCTTTGAGAGAACGATTTGTAACAGCAAGAAATCTACAGGTACAACTTAATGCTACTCATAATTTTCAAACAAGTGTGTCCACCGTAAGAAGACGTCTTGCGGAACAGAATTTGACCTTTAGAATTCCAGCAACAGAACCGAAGTTAAATGCAAATCATCGTAGAGAAAGACTGCAATTTGCCAGACAACATGTTGGCTGGAATATTGAGGATAGGCAGCGTGTACTATTTACATAAGACTCCAGGTTTTATTTATTCAGCTCGAACCGACATCCAAATGAGAGATTTTCACAGTGTAACATTCGTGAAACCCCGCTATTTAATGGTTTAGGGAGGAATTTCCTCCGCAGAACTCGTTATTGTTCGTGGAGGTATCATGAATAGTGTACGATATATCGAGGACATTTTATGTTCCTTTCGCACCGTACATCGGTAATAGTTTTTTACTTATGCACGATAACGAAAGACCTCACACTCTCATATAGTGCAAAAGTACTTCCATGGGGTGGGTGTTGAAACTTTAGACTGGCCTGCAAATAGTCCAATTCTCAACCTTATTGAGCATTTTTGGGATAATATGGGTAGACGACTAAGAAATCATGATCCCTACCTCCCTTGATGACGTAGCAAATATGCTACGAAAAATATGGAATGTCATTGATCAAGGAGAGATTATACATCTGGTTTCGAGTATGAGCGTCGATGTGAAGCCGTAATTAGAAGTAGAGGCGGAAATACGCGATATTTATATTCTTTAATGTTGGTTTTATTGATTTTGTTTATATTTTTATTGTTACAATCGTTCTTTTTACATTTTTTTATTAAACCGGAGTTCTTTAATATTTAACTGTATATTTCTTTTAAAAATAAAGATAACGCGGTGAATTAAAAAACAAAATGTTAAGAGAAGATGGGACTATAGTTTGATTATAAGAGACATATGCTGTTATAGCTGGCACAACCCACAGGAAAAAACTTATTATTACTCTTGCACCCTGTTTATACTCAAAACGTAAATTTGAAAAAATATTTTAATAAAGGCATTATAACCAAAAAATAAACCTACAATTTAAAACAAAAACAACCAAATTCGGTTTGACGGTTCGCCAGAAAATCAACTTTAAAATTGTAGCAAAATTTAGTGGTGCATTAAATTTGACGCGAAGTGTGTGTTACGTGGGAGGCAGAGTGTCTAAAATCTAATACATACTGTCCGTTCAGGCTAAGTTGAGCGGTCTTAGGAATGTCACCCCGTCCATCATCTCTATGTTTAGTCACAATTAAATACATGTATTTCGGTAGCCGCTCTGTACCAACAAACCGCAAGCCCCGGCACTGATAAATCATCTTCTTGTTACCGAAATCTTGCGAGGATTAGATATTTAATTTAATCAACGGTCACAAGATCCCCCACCAAAGCGCTCAACTTAGCCTGAACGGACTGTATGTATATCGGTGGAATAAAAAATAACTTGGAAAAAATATATTTCATCAAAAAAATACAACAAATATAAAGTTTCAAATACCTATAATATTATTACTCAAAAATGAGGACATAAAATTAGTCAAACAAAAGTATAAGAACTAATAAAAAAAATATGCATCTAAAAACTAAAATTTTTCCTTTAATATTAAAATCTCTTTTAGGTTTTATCAATACCTTTTAAAACTTTTATACCAAAGAACACTCTACACCTTCGCTACTCAAGAAAGTTTGAGTTGGACTTTCTCTTGACCTCTTTTTGCCTCTCTGTTGTAGAAGGGGCCCTTCCAAACAGCCTGTGTTGAGCTTAAAGGCTGGTCAGTGCAGAGTTTAAAAAATTGTAATCCCTCCACCACTAATTTCCCTGTTAAGGCTGGATTTTCTTAAGTTATTTTTAAGTTCATTTAACATATTAAATATCACCAATGATTTAAAAATAATTATTTAACAAAGTAATTATTTAACACAATTTTAGTTTACGATCTGTCCTAGAAACATGTATCGCTGTTCAAAAAGATTCAAGGTCAAGCCTTTAAACATCTTTGAAACGGAATACCCTTTAACATAGGTGATGTTTGGGTTGTCCTTGGGTGAACATACATGTTGAGAAATCGATGTTTATTAACAGCAAGAAAGGGAATAGGCCTCTTAGCCACTCATCTCTTTAATTGTAATGCCTGACATTTTAAAATACATAAGTATTTTAATTAAGAACATATAGAAATAGAAAAAAAGTATGTCCATATATCTAATACTCCTGTACAGAATGGATACCACGAATTGCAGAGCGGGTCAACGTTCCTTAATCTCAGCGACGTTCTGCTATTCTAGTGTCAATTTTCGGATATGCGCATGAAATGCGAAGTAGAGAAAGAGAGACGAAAGAGAGACGTCTGCACCGTAGCGTTTTCGTCCTTCCGTATTCAACTAGCAATACGAGTATTAGATTTATGTGTAACCTATGGTACCACCAGTGGTAAACTGTTTTTATATCCTGTTTATAGGGTAGTTAAAAAACTTTTACATACATTTAGATTTTAATCGGGAAAATTTAATAATTATAATAATAATAATATGTTTATTGTTTAAAGATCAATACAAAATTCATAAAAAACTTGTCAAAATACAAAGATAAATATTTTTTTTAAATTAATAAAACTGGTTTAAATGGATGTGAGATATAAAAAAGTATAACATAAGATAATAGACAATAAAACTTGCAAAAATAATAGCAAACATATAAACTTTAAAGCTTTGTTTTTGAGATACAGTTAATAAAAAAGTATGGTCACGCCAATGCTTTTTTATGATTTTATTATCATAATAATTATTAGACTAAGCTTTTTTCTCTATCTTGCTTATTTTTAAAGAAAATAAAAAAAATAAATTTATTTATCCCCTTTTGATCAGGGGAAGCAAATAAATAAATTTTATTTTTTTCTAAAAAATTAAACAATAAATAGAAAATATGCACGAGACAAAATAGGTGCATTTTTATTTACTTAACCTAAAAATAATAATAAATTTAATCAGTAGCGTACCCAAATTTTATTTTTAAGTATCTAGTTGGGATGCCCCAGCGCCCCCTTTGAATTACAAAACTAAATTTAATTTATTTACATTAACTTAAGCCCTTTATCCATTAATAAAAACGTATAAAGTTGTATTAAATTCAACCAAGGAGTTCTTGAAATTTTTAATTTTTTTTTTAATTGACCACCTTGTATCTCGAAAATTAAGCTTCAAAACATTCAAGTGTATATAAACTTTTATTTTTATTTTTGCGAATTATATCTACTACTAAATTTTACCGACTAAAATCTGAGACACCCTGTAGAACTAAATCAAATTAATTATTTAACGTCGAGTAAGTATTTGGTATCATTAAAAACCCCTTAATATAAATTTAAAAAAGTACAGATTCATCATTATAAGTGACGGTCATATTCACAATGAGACCGGTCATTTGCCAACTCTAATAATAACCATTATTTTTTAGTCAACTGAGGCCCCTTTTACACCCTCAGTGTACCAATCTGCCTGGTTGATAATTAGGGAATGGGCAAAACAACAAATTGGCAAGGAATTTAGTTCACTCTTTGAATTGGCTCTATATTTAGTCTATAACTATTCAATCTGTCAGGGAACTGATTTTGCATATAAATTAACACTGGCAGACTCTCAGCTTAAAGGTAAGCATTGGAATTTAATAAAAATAAAAATTATTTGACTTTTTATTTTGAAGAAGAATTCAATAGTAAATCTGATAGCAAACACAGAGAAATGCAGATGCAACTGCAGAGAAAAATTCAGCAAAAACACGAAATTAAAGAAAGAAAACGAAAAAGTCAAGTAAGTTGGATTAATTATATTTTTTTAAGTTAAAGATGTTCTATCTGAAGCGGTTCAAGATTATATATATGTATATATATATATATGTTCTGCTTTAGGTTTCCACGGGCGTTATATGTATTAGTGGTTTTTCGGGATCTGCTAACTCGCAGCAGAGCAGCAACAGCAGCCCAGCAGATAAGACCTGAAGATGGTACATGAGATTGTACCGAAACGTCGTCAGACATACGGTTCTTTTAAGAACCAAAAACCGACAATACGGAGCAGATCCCGAAAAACCACTAATACATATATATATATATATTATATATATCTTAAAGAATTGTATATGTATATTATACTTATACAATTCTTAAGATTCATAAGTAGAGTATGAGTATAAGAGACGTATAACCGGCCCCATTGCCTCATCGCTCCCGGGCCCCGCATAGGCCTCTGTTTCCTTGCGCCGATTTTCTTTCGCCACCAGCAACGGCGCGGCTTCATCCGTGTTTGCTGGTTGCGAATGTCCATTGCGTCCCATACTGTCCCCTAGTTAGGGCTCGAGAGCGAAATGCCAATAGTTTTAGTAGCCATTCCCCGGTTCGCCGAGCCGATGCGATACGCCCAGTAGGGTCATGAAGGAGGTAGGACGGGAGGGATAGATATTTTGGTGTTTGGGGGACAATTACGCCGACTCAAATCTAAGTACGACACGGTACCCCCCCTAGACCAGGCAGTTAGTATTACTCCAAACATTTGGGGTTACTGTATGGAGTTTGGGAGTTGTTATTTTGCTGCAGGAGCCTACGTCTTGGTCTACGTTTTTGTTGTTATTGTTTGTGTCCAAGTAGGATTGTTCCTGCACATGTGTCTTCAGTCTTGAGGCCGAAAACCATCAATAGATAGTTCCGTAGCTGGATATGTAACTTGTAGCTTTTGATGTTTTTTTTTTATTGTTTATTTCCGCAGTAGTGCAACAATTTTTTTAGTTATTGTGTTGCCCAAGCACGTTTTGTGGTAGAATTGTTTTGTCTTTCTTTTCTTAAATTCCAAAATTAAGTATTGCATTTATTTATTAGTTAAACAAATGACAAGCGCAATTATTCTGTTATAATCTAATGTGTTTACAAATCCAATAGAATTTGATTAGTATGCTGTTTTTACTATGTTAGGGTTTTAATGATTTATTAAATGTTAGTTTATATTCTGTGTGTCAAATGTTTATTATTTGTCTCGTTTGGGTTAAAATTAACGTTATTTATTGGCGTCGTTCTTTAAGTTACTTGGTTTCATGCCTTACGCATTTGTTGTTGACAGATTTCTTGTCCTACACAGTGTAATGGAAAGGACCCGGTCTACGTTGTGTTTAATTAATTTACCCTTTGATACCTATATTTACCTTAAATTTTGCCAAGAATACGTCTAGCCCAGATTCGTCGTAATAAAGTAGGAAGAGTGACAAACAATCAAACAAATATTTATAACCATATTATTTATTTATATTAAAGAGAACAAAAGCAACTGCGGAAACCAATATTTCGTTTTATGCCCCCTTTTTTTTAACAGTAAACTGCCAGGGTCGTTGACCTGGCGCCTGGGTCGGTGTTTGAGACGAAGGATTACAAGAAGATTACCGGCAGTCATAAAATCAAGTGACATTTACCCTGCTTTACGGGCCTGATTATGGTAAAATATTTTTTTATTGTAAAATCAAATCGGTGTACGAGTGCACTTCGTTTATCGATTTACAGTGGGCATGGGCCTCTTTTATTGTTTATATTGTTGACGATCGTTACGATCGAGAGTTGTCTCTGTTTATTTTTTTAATTTTTTTATTTTGTTGTTGAAGTAGTTATGTGTTTATTATTACCTTATCATCAGCTCACATATCAACACTAGTCTCTGCGGGAGTGTATTAATATTTATGAAGTTTTCTTTTTTTGGGAAGGATTGCCTTTATTGGCTCTTTTATGTGGTTGCCTATAGCTTTTCGGTGGGAATCGTTTCAATGATGGTGTTCAATCGTTGGGCATAGCCTTTTCCGCTGATCCTACAGGATATCGGAAGGTACAGGATGTATTGTCAATTTAATATTATCACACTCCCAGGTTGAACGAGATTAAGCAGTATATTGACAGCCTTACAACAAGCGTTTAGTCCATGCAAGCAATTAATAATGCAAGGTGTCTATATACTTTTAAGAAAAACTGTTATATTGATTTCCGTTGCAGATCATACCGTCAATATATGCCTGATGTGGTATTTATTTGGTGAAAAATGGAATAGTTTAACATCAGTAGTACTAGAGTGTTGTCACCTGATTTATCTGACTGTAGGCAGGTAGCTATCCCGGTTCATTCATTTATTTATGAAATGGCTCTTACTCTCTTTACGTTGGAAAAACAATTACAATGATACATGTTTTGACATACCTGTAGTTTCGGGTCTACTCGTTGATTACGATCCGCAAATGATTAATAATAAACTTAAATAAACTACTTGTTCACTGTTACTACACAACTACTAACAGGTGTCAGCACTCACGGCGATAGGCTTTGAAATTAAATGTCACTGCAATTACTTGATTGTCCAGCAGGTGGCAGCACATACACGCGGCGGGGAATTTAAACAAAGTTGAAGCGTTCGCCCGATAGAGGGCGCGATGTCGCGGCGTCGGATTCAAATAACCAAGATGGCTACAACTGGCGTTACACACAAGTTTGAATTAGAGAGCAGGAGTTTTTGGAAAAACGTCCGCACGCAACTAGAACTGGAAACTGACTGCCCAAATCTGTTTACGCAGCCCTTGATCATCCCCCTCTCATGTATCGTTCTTTGTCTTTCCCCAAAGTTGGAAAAAGTAAACCATATGTGTGACATGGCAAAATTAAGATAAAATAGTGTTTTAACATTTTTAAGTGGGCAAAGACATTTGAGATAGATATTTTTGTAGTCTAGTATCCCAGTCAAATAATTAATAATTTTAAGTGTGCCCTTAGTCAACTTTTGTACTGGTTGATTGGTTTTTTCCGAAATATTGGTTTTTACAATAAAATAATTTAACAATTAGCCGACTTCGGTACTACTTTAGAAAATAATACACACAAATTCAAGTTTAACTATTCGGTTTTTAGACCGATAATAAGATTAGGTACTGAAAAACTTAAAATTAAATTACAACAATTGTATTGAACAGAACATTTAAAACTATTACTAACTTAATACTAAACAAGTTCACATTATTTAACTAACTAACTATTTAAATAACAAATTTTAATATTTACAATAAACTGTTTCTTTATTATCTGACAAAAGGACGTCCCGTAGAACGGTATAACTCCTTGCAAACATAATACGGGGTGTACTCGTAGTACAGTGTAATAGTATTTTCGTATAAGTAACCGGTTTATTATTTATATAATTTAACTAATTTAATTTTGCATCTACTACCCGGACACCTCCTGAATATTGAACTTGGGAGGATCCCTTTTGCATTCCAAAATATCTTAAGTGGTTGTTTATCAGTTTTTAACATCAACAGATGCCCTATATCTGTAGCAAAACTTTCCTTAGTTGACTTATTTAAGCAAACGAAATAAACCATTATTTTAAAATTTTAAAATTGTATTACGGGTTTTATACTTTCAGGCGTTAGAGGAGTCCAACCTTTTCACCAGCTTTGGTGTATCACCGCGATAGTTCGATTGGGAAGTTTTGTTTTTTTGTTGTTTGTCTTTTTTCTTTATTATTTTATGGTGTTTGGTTAGTATTGTCTTTCTAATGTTTCTATTGTTACTGATGTTTATTGTTTTTTCTAGAGTTTAAGCAGTGTGCCTTTCTTAGGGTTTTGAAAGGTATCTGTCGTGTTTAATTTTGCAAATTATGTGTTAGGTCATGCATATGCTTCAGAATACTTATCAATTTTTTGCGGATGGCCACTTCCCCTCTTGTTTGACCTCTTTTGTTTGTCTAGTGAAAAGCGTCCAATGACAGGTGGTATACTTATAGGACCAGAAGCTGAAACTTGTCACTTAACTCTTTCTTATCACTTAACACTTCACTCTTTATTGACCGTTACACTATTTTAGTCTGCACTTTATGAAAATTGTTTTTTTTTACTATAATTGGTTTGCACTTTTGAAAAATTATTTGTTGGTTTTAAACCTTAAACTTTTACGTTTTAAGAGCTCTCGCTGCTACAATGCGTCATGCCTTGTCAAGTGCTGGAACCTGAGTGAATTCTTAACATTCTTAAGTAGATATACAATAATTGCATAGAATTCGGTCTTGGTTCTGGTGAAGCGCGCATCGCTTATGAAAGAGTGTGAAAAATATCCGACTTTGCGGTCCAGAAAAGCCAAGATAAGATTCCCGGGATAGAAATAAACCTGTATTTCTCTATAATATTCCTGGATTAATATACAGTCCGTATAATATTAAAAAAATATATTCTTTAAGTTACTTCTCTTAAAGTTATAGCAATGGGTAAGTACTAAATATAAAATTGACTTATTTCCGGTATATATACCTGGTTTTGAAACTGAATCATATTCTTAACATTAAATATAGATAGATAATTAAAGGATTTTCTACAAAATATTTTGATGTAGATATAAACATAAAGATATCCCTATTTACCCAATTTCACCTAAAAGTGGATATTGCTAGTTTTGCTTCTCAATTCCCTTAATTGTTATAACTTTTACATGGCTCCCACATCTCCTAAAACTCATAAAATTCCTAAAATTTGGCTTAAATCTTGAAAACTTCTAAAATTCTCCTAAAATTGCCATCAATCTCCTAAAACTCCTAAAATTCTAAAAATTAAATTTAAATAGCCTAATTAAGGTAGTTGTGCTAAAAAATTCTTTTTTAAAAAGTAATTTAAAAATATATATTTTTTAGGTTCTATTTTATTAAATTCTTTTTAAAATGATATAATATCACAACAATTTTTTTTAATAAAATTTTAAATTTGTCGATAAATTATAGTAGAGTATAAATTGCAGCACAGGAAG